CAAATATTATTGTGTTCAGTTGCTCATGCCATCAACTGTAGTAGAGTCCATGGCCATCATAACATCCGTGTTACACAGCCCGTTGCAGGGACCATCGCTTTCCCATTTGATTTGGAATCTTGTAACTCTCGGCTCGTCGACTACGACCCATCTGACCATCTTCTCGAGCACAGGCACGTCAGGAGGGTCTTCTTGCAAAACAGGATCGACGTAAGTGTTGTGGACATACCACCCGATTCGGATGAACTCCTGTCCTCGGTAACTAGCCTCCAATAACACCACAGTGGAACCGTGCACGTCGTCGTCATCAATCTTGGTGAAGTCAGGCGGATCGGCTTCCAGAGTAAATCGCAAGGACCCTAAGCAATAATTGTTTCTTATGTTCAGTGCTTTCGAGCCACCACGGTTCCCATTCAATAGGGAACTATTCCCTCATGTGACGCCTCATGCTATCAATAGACCAGACCGCATGAACGGACAACGGACAGAAGGAACTGGCATTCGGTAGGGGGTGAAACCAGACGGGGGACTTACCTTTCTTGAGTGGGCCTATCTCAGCACACTCTAATTCTTGGTCTTTGCTTTTGTCGTCGGGGCTTCCAACGTATATAAGTCTCCAAACTAAAGGCAATGTCAGATCCTCTCGACATTGAAATGACACCTCTATTCGAAATGGGGTATTCAATGTGCACGGGTTGGGTCCCACAATGGAGGCATTGTTCACCACGACCCAGGACATTTTCTTTTTAATGCAGCACCTATCAGAAACCGACTTGCTCAGTAAATACTCGAGTATGCGCACAAATCCACAATTTGGCAGCCGCACACACGTGTGCGCGCGATAGTACAAACAGTACAATAAATCATACTGTGATTAGGAGGCGGTCAAATACTTGACGAGGATGCGATAACTAGATTTTGCGAAGAGGAACTACAGCTGGATCCGTGTGACGTTTTGATACTCGTATTCTGTTGCAACTGCGCCGCTAAAAAAATGGGTGTATTCGATAGGGATGAGTTCCTGCGAGGAGTTAGCAAAGGCCTGGATAAAGAGCGGTGGAAGGAAGAGTTGGTCCTAGATTCAAAGCGAGTCTATGAGTTCACAGGTATTTTCGCTAGAGCCGCGGGGTGTGACTACATAGATTGCGCCACTGCTCGAGAGTACTGGAGACTATTTTCTGCTTATTGGACCTTCCCAATGGTGCCGAAGTTGTTGGAGTGGGCAGACAAGCAGCCGGACAACATGAAGATCACTAAGGACGCCTGGAATGTAACATCAGCACCTTAAACATCAGCACGTCCAACATCCCACACCACCACTGCAAGGATGACATTCTGGTAGTCTGTTCTGAAATTTTTAGCGACGGTGATTACTGCTGATGACGTGAAGTCATTTGACCCTGAGAACAGTGAGTTACCCTGCTGGCTCCCCACATCCACGGACGTCACATCGGCAAGGGAGGTCACGATATTGTTACTGTGCTCAAGACAAAATGAGGACTTGAACAGGGTGCTTCCCGGGTGGCGTGGCTTGCCTTGCCTGCAGGTCCCATTAGTGTGCGGTCTTTTCAAGTCCGGGGACAACGTTCGGGGAACAACGTCTGAACAACGTCTGGGGGACAACGTTCGGGGGACAATGACCTCTGCAATTCTAGGTTTCTGGCCTCCCATGATCGACGACCTAATCGATTTCATACGCGACCATTAGGTATCATCGTCGGCATAACCCATAATAACGTTGCGCAGATGCTGCACGTGATGCCTGATTAATCGCCTCATTTTGTCGTCGACCTTGGAGCTGTGACAGAACACATAAACGAAGCCATCATAGATTCTCTTCCGCTCCTCATAATTGTCTCCTTCAAGACTGTACTTCAAAAAAATTGGATCCTGACGTTTGAAAATATTTGGATGAGTCTCGCAGCGTGGGCGGGCGAAATCGTGCATCGGAAGCGTGCCTCCCGGGCTATCCCCAGGCTCGGTATGTGTCTTACGTTAATACGCGGTAAGTAGCTCCTCATTCTCACAATAATCTGCTTCTCGTCGTAGAGAGCTAGATGCCTCAACCGATCCAGCTCAGATAAAACGTGGGGTGTCTGCGAAGGTGTAAGAGTGTAGGGGCCACGAAGGCCGGTGCGGGTGAGATCGGTGTTAGTGAACATTTACAGTGTACGCGAGAGCAAGATCTTGTAGCAGTGATAGGAACCTTCGGGGCGGCATGGGTGGATCTATGGGTTTCAGGGATTCCTTGCGAGTGGGTGCTTTGGACGGGCCTCCGGTTGAAAGGGCTGCTGGCAGGAACTTTTTGAGAGGTGCATTTTCAGCTGAATAATTTTTGACGACTTTTCCACTCTTCAAATTGGCGGTCCGTAGCTCTGTCTGTGCCTGTTTCAGGGCCACCCTTGCAGCGATTCGGTGCTCCTCGTCTACAAAACCGTCGGTGGCGATGGTCTTGTACGCGTCAATGGCCTCCTCGAGCAGCCCCAGGTGCTGGAGCGACCGCCCCAGCAGGTAGTGGAGTTTGCCGTCGTGCTCGTCAAATATGAGGCCTTCCTTGGCCGTTGCGATGCACGCGCGATACTCCTTCAACTTCAGGTGCGTAACGGCCTTGTTCCGCCTAAAAATGGCCAGGAGCTCCTGCAACTCGATGTCCCGGTCTCTATTCTCGCACACGTAGTGCTTTAGCAAGTTATATCCCTGCGTGTACAACACGTTTGCGCGCTGGATCTTGCCCGCCACCATTGCGTCGGCTCCCTCTTGCCGGAGCTTCTCGCCAAAATCGATTCTTGACTCCGCTTCACTTGCCGAAATTACCTTCCGGTTTTGGACGTCGTCGCTGGGCACCCACTCCTCCCTAGGCATAATCTCTCCGCGTTGCAGCCGACGCCGGAGCTCACGCTCAGGTACATCAGATACCTCAAACCACTGTGCGCTCACCGGACGATACTCGCCCCGCTCGTAATCCGGGTGTGGAATGATTGCAGAGCAAGTGGCCGCGCGATCTCGCGCGTGTGCACACGAATTTGCGCCCGACAAATTCCCGGCGGCCCGAGAAGAAGATGACCGGGCCCTTTCCTTTTCCACTTCGGCGCTGGCTTCCGCGGAGCTCTGGTACAATGGTTCATGGCCACGGCGCCGTCCGCTGCATGTTTTGGAGTCCTCGTTTTGGTCGCCGAAGAAAGAACGATTTTCAGCCGAGACGTCTTCGTTGGGCGTCCCACTGCGCGAGTATGAAGACGTGCCGCTCCGTGTATACGTGCCCGCAATGTATCCCTCCCGGTAAGACGCGTGGTCTTGGTCTTCATAAGATGCCCCATGGTCAGGGTCACGGCAAGATGCGTCATGATAAGATGCGTCTTTATAAGATCCATCACGATAAGCTCCCTCTTGATAAACTCCGTCTTGATAGCTTCCATCTCGATACGCTCCATCTTGATAAGTCCCATCTCGATACGCTCCATCTTGATAGGCTCCATCTTGATGAGCTCCGTCTTGAGAAGCCCGGTAATTCGCGTCGGGGTAAGCTCCGAGGGGTTGCCGCCGCATTGAACCGTTTCCGAGTTGCTGGTCGTGCGGCAACGGGTCATAGGGCAGTTCATGGGAATAGGGTTCGTCGGTGTATAGGGGTCCGCGGGAGTGGTGCGGTTCGGCAGACCGGTGCTGCCGGTCGTACGGGGGGTTGTGGGCAGCGGCCCATTCGATGGCGATGTCGGCAGTGGCGTCTGAGTTCTGATAGAGTTTAAAGGCAATAGTGTTCCCCGCAATCTGGTTCCGCTGAGGCAGTTTGGCGGGCAAGCGACGGAGACGTTCTTCCCTGATCTGTCGCTGGAGTTTGATCAGACGACCGAGCGCTCGCTGGTGGGCTAGCACGCCCGGTACGTGGCTCCCGCTGACACCCAGATAGTACTGGATCTCCTGGTCAGCTTCCTCGGCCTTAAGCCGGTTCAGTGTCCCGGTCCAGTACGATTCTTTGTCCTCTTCTTCCATCATTTTTTTTCGGATATGATTTGCACCGTGGAGATTACAGACTTGCTCTGCGCCACTCCCCATGGTACCTACCTCGTTTCCCTCACCAGCTCCATGTGTGACCTCTACAACGAAAGCACCGAAGACTACCTCGACTACGATCTTCTTAGCAAGCTTGTGATGGGCTACGTCCTGGAACAAAAACAGCATGCCCTCGAACAACTCGCCGCCAACCTCGCCATCATTATCATGAGCGTCAAACCCGACGACATGGACAGCTGCACCGTCACAGTCAAGCAACCCCCCGCCAACAAGAACGCTCCCACTATTGCGGTCTCTCAGACACTCACCTCCGATGAATACGAGAATGTCACCAGACCCGATCTCTGGCTCTGGAAACGTGAATTTACCGAGAAAAGACTGTCCTACAACTAAGCAAGTAACTACTCCCCCGAGTCATTAGACCACCGAGTAACTAGGTCCCGGAGCAACTGATTACTTGGCCGAGTCTCCGAGTCTCTAGTCCACCGAATACTAGTCCACCGAATACTAGTCCACCGATTAGTTCTACCCCGCACGACCAACGCGCGGATTCGTCCACATTCGACCAGCGTGCGGAGTTGGGAGTACACTGGCACCAGCCGCAGACGGCCTCGGGAGTGACTTCTCCAATTTACTGGAGAATGATGCTTGCATCTGCCGGCGTTTTTAGTTCAATGACAACTCCCACAATGAGCGGTATTAATTTAAGCCTGGTCGCGGCTCCGAAAAACACTCACTCAAAGCGGGTCCGAAAAACAGCTCGGTACAGCGGCTCCTTCGGGCGAGACAGCAGAGGGAGGTTTTTTGGGGACCCAATTCACGGAACGGACTGAATTCAGTTGCTTCTCGACGAACTTGTGCGCATAATGATTTGCAAAGTCGAAGTCGGCAATTTGGAATGCTTTGGCTGTCATGGTGTGAAGGACCGGGAGAAAGAACAGGAACAGCCCTTTTTGGTATCGCTGGAGTGCACGATGTCGGCTTGGAGTGACGGCGACGACTATGTATGCTACAGCAATTTGTGTGACATGGTTCGTTCGTATGTCAAGACCCAAAAGAAGAATTTGTTAGAAGAACTTGCAACGGATTTGGCGGTGCTCATCTTCAGCATGAGTCCATCGTCCATTGACACTTGCACCGTCTCCATACGCAAGCCAACCGTCGAAAAGAATAAACGAGCCGACCTCATACAGGTCTCGCAGACCCTGGGTGCGGAGGAGTACGAGAACCTAACCCGACCTGACGTCTGGCTCTGGAAAAGAGAATACATGGCCTCTCCCAAAACCCCCCGAAATTAGACTTCCCGAATTAATTCTATCTAGTTCCGATTTCGTAATCCGATGTGTGGACATTCTATCCACACTCCAGGAACCGTACGGCGGGTGCAGTGGGATGTGTCGGCTCCATATGTGTCGTCGGTTCACTCTTTGGTCTGGGATCGTAGTTGTTGAGATCTAACGCTCAATAAATCTCGAATTCTCGTAATTGTGTCGGCTGTGATCCAACCGGTGTTGTTATCGAATTCTTCAAGTGGTTTCGTTATTTGAAGAAGTCGTTGTACCTTGGTATCTTGAATATCGCAAAGTTGATATAGGCAGGAAGGTTTGTTGGGAGCGACGAGGAATTGCCAGTCGGTGCCTCCATCATTAGACCTATTTTTTCTTGCTTTCTGAGTCCGGTATTTGACAGATCTAAAGAAGGTATCCCTGAAGTCGATGGTCTGGTAATTTCGTGTGTTCGGATCTTTGCGTGGGTCGAATCCCAGGCGACATAGACAGCCTCGCCAGGGGCCGTCCATGAATAGGAAGCATGTGTGTGCCAGAACGGGTTTCAGCCGCCAAATGGTAGCGTGCTTAGACAGGTGTGCAAACAGACTATTGCGCTGCCACAGCGGTCGCTGTTCGAATAAAACCTTCAGCTCGTCCAACAGCGGACCAGACCCAATGGACACTGCAATGGCAGTCCGAGGTACATCCTCGTATGTGGGGAGCCGCAAGTCCGCTATTCTGGCCACCGCGTTGCATACGGATCCCATACCTTTCGGCACGATGCCCAGGGCATGAATTTCTCCCCCGGAGATACGAGTATCTCCCTCTGCCTCCGGAATGTTTTCGGGGATCACGAAAGGGGTGTCAACTAGCTCCCTGTTGGGCAAAAGGAAGTATTTGCTGAGGGCACTAAAGACGTTCACACTATACCGGTAATTAAACGGCTGGCTCTGGCGAGTATATAGCGGTGGAGGGAGTTCTTCGGTCCTGAATGTGCCGGTAAGCATATCCGTCCAGGCGGGATCTTCGTCAGAATCCCCTCTGGATGAATCCCCTCTGGGCGGATTTTCTCTTGGGGGATTTTCTCTTGGGGGATTTTCTCTTGGGGAAACACTGACCGGTTCCGAGTCCTGATCCGAGTCTGGTGAGCTGGGCTGCATTGGTGTGTCCGGTTCAGGCACTGTGGCGGGTTCCGGGATCATATCAAATTCTATATTGGCTGTTGTTGGCGTCTTGCTTTTTGAAGTGCTGCGTACGCCACCATAAATATCAGCGTAGGCTGTATGTCTTAGTCGATCGACGTAACTAACAACGTCTAGAGGCATCCTCAAAGCAGGCTCCGGTGCCAGGTAGTAATCTGCGAGTGACGTAAATCGAAAGGTCTGGTTCGCGATCCCCTCGATCCGCACCTGTCTTCGCCCGGTCGTCTTATGTCGACGAAGCCGTAACACTAACCCCAACGATCGGTACGTCTGGGCACCCAGAAATTTGCTATAAGGGTCCTTATAGTGCAATCTTAGTATTAATGGTTTCACGGTCGGTCTTCGAAAAGATTCGGCAATTCTTCCATAACCACCTAGCGCTTCAATAACAGCACTCCCATTCTTCACTACTCCTGGCACTTCCACCACATGATACGTATTCAATTGGGGCTTTTGAATGTGTATACTGGTGCCCGTGGCATCCAAATCAAACCACATTTTAAAAACCCCTTCAACATAATATAGTCAGAACAACACCACACATGCGTGCCCAGAGCTGCTGCCGTATCTTCAAAGCTGCCAGTGTTACAACACTCGGAACTCTCGGAACAAACACCAACACTCGGAACACACTCCGATCTAATTTTTTTTAAACGCTATGCACGCCCTACCGTTTTTAGTCTTCGGGGTTTGCGGCCATCTAAGAGGAGATGAGTATCCAAAAACCGTACCTACCAGTACTCTGTCCACAAGAACCTTGTCCACAAGAACCTGGTCCACAAAGGTCTCAACAAAGACCTTGTCTACAAGAACAACATCGATCAGACCTGCCCCAAACGAAGGAAACAGTGCGCAATCGGAACGGAGTGCCTCGATGACGGACCCAGCAATGTGCGCCTTGGTGGGTCAAGGACACTCGTACTTACAGGGCCTGTATCTCACATGCGATCGTGAATGCACCGACAACGCGTCCACCGCCTTCGGCCAGTGTGATTACGATTCATGTGTCCACCTCAGTCAAATGTGCCAACAAATTTACTTCGACACGCGAATTGAGTGCATCGTGGCGCAAATGAGCGAGGGGTGGGAATGTCCCTGGACGTGCGTAGATGGTGACGGCGTTAAGCAAACGTGTAGCGGAGACAAGGGCACTACGACGACAACTTCTACACCCGCCACGCACACCTCGCGAAGTACAACCTCCACCACAACTACCCCCCCCCCTACCACTACCACCACCACCCCCCTACCACTACCACC